TGGGTGTCGGGGGGGGGGGGGGCTGCCGTGGTAGGCCGTAGCAGGCCCTGTCAGGCCAGGTGTTGTGGTAGTGAGGTAGGCCTCGACCTAGGTGGTGCTGGTCCCTTGCTCCTTCACGCTGGTCACGTGCTCCTTCACAGCTTCAGATAGGGTTGGGGAGACCAAAGGTGTCCCCCCCCTGCCCTTAACGACCCACGTGGTAGTGCTGTATGGTGGGGGCTGAGTGGTGTGGTTGGCCTGGTGGCCTATGTAGCTGTGGGCCCTGCTGGGATAGCGTGCGGCCTAGATGCGGGAGTCGGGTGGACTCTGTAGAATAGGTGCCTGAGTTGTGGGCGGTGAGAGGCGGTGGAGAGGCACTCCCTTCTCTGTGGGTGTTCTGGAGCCTGGATGCCACTTACTGTGGGGATCTGCGGCTCGGCGGCCCTGGATGGACGGGCGCCACTGCGATGGGGCAGAGCGGGGAGTCAGCGGTGGAGCGGTGGGGGAGGCTCGGGCGGCCGTTCCTCCTTCTCAGCATGCGGCGTGCAGCTGGAGCTCAGTGGGCAGGCTTGGTGGAGGCGGGTCACGGCTCGGCGGGCCTTGCGTGGATGGGCACCGTGGCGAGGAGGGACCCGCACCACGTGGATGGACGCCGCAGGATGGAGGACCGGCACCGCTCTCCCCTCCAGGTAAGGGGAGGGTAGGGGGGACCACTGGCGGCTGCCGTGAGCCCGCTGCTCCCGAGTTTGCGGGCGGGAGCAAGCGGGAATGCGAAGGCGACCGGAGCTGTGACTTATGCCTGGTGCCAGTGGAAGGAATAAAACCCCATCCTTGGTGTCAGTGGAAGGAATAAAACCCCATTGTTTGTGTCAGTAGAAGGAATAAAGCCCCATTGTTGATGTCAGTGGAAGGAATAAAACCCCATTGTTGATGTCAGTGGAAGGAATAAAACCCCATTGTTGGTGTCAGTGGAAGGAAAAAGCCCCATTGTTGGTGTCTGTAGAAGTAATAAAGCCCCATTGGTGTCAGTGGAAGGAATAGTGCCTAGTTGTTGGTGTCAATAGAATAGTGCCCCATTGTTTGTGTCAGAAGGAGGAATACTGACTTGTATCAAAGAGAGAAACAGTGCCGCAGGGGGCTGGATAAAGGGCCACACCCGTACTTTGGAGACCACTGTGCTAGACTATTATTTTTGTTTTATTTTAATTTTTTTTACATGAAAGCAGAGTTTAAGTTGTAACACTTGTCATGGGCAATAATCAATATCTTTTATTTCCTGTGACACCTTGTGCCCATCTCACTAAATTAATTTTTCCATCCACGGAGTTATTGGAGGGAGAAAGACGAGGCAATCCTCTAAGATTCGCCAATTACGCCGCGTCCCGGCTTTCGATGACTGCGCACCTGCTCTGACCTACATTATAACCACAGAGAGGAGAAGACGAGGTCGGGAGAGGTGATATTTATACACGCGAAAGCCAATTAACATGATATATATATATAAAATGGACAGAACTAGGCTGGTGAATCAACAACAACACAGGACCGATCGCAGCTTGTACCCATATCAGGGATAAAACGGCATCCGCTCGTGGCGCTGGGAGGGTTGGAATAACAATGCTGTGCGGCACATCAAAGGTACAGAAACTACAAAGCGGTTTCAAGAGTCGGAAATGTTCACACTATGACTGCAATGATCAAAACACCGCGGGATGCGCGACAATGCGCCATTTACAGCATTCTGTGATGACCGCTGGTTTGGCACAAAACATTCTATATGATGCATGTGAAAAGTGCCATAAAAAGACATTACAATTCACATCACAGATAACAAACACTACATACAGAGAAAACATATCCGTCCCGTCCCGACCACCCTGCTACATTCGTACAATAAAAGATTAAAAAAAAAAAAAAAACACTTTAATACTTACACTGCAAAGCGCATTTCTCCGGGATTCTACACATGACCGTAGGCCTAGGCCACGGGTGTCAAACTGGCGGCCCTCCAGCTGTTGCCAAACTACAAGTCCCATGAGGCATTGCAAGATTTATGGGTGTCGAACTGGCGGCCCTCCAGCTGTTGCCAAATGACAAGTCCCGTGAGGCATTGCAAGATTCATGGGTGTCAAACTGGAGGCCCTCCAGCTGTTGCCAAACGACAAGTCCCGTGAGGCATTGCAGGATTCATGGGTGTCAAACTGGCGGCCTTCCAGCTGTTGCCAAACGACAAGTCCCATGAGGCATTGCAAGATTCATGGGTGTCAAACTGGCGGCCCTCCAGCTGTTGCCAAACGACAAGTCCCATGAGGCATTGCAAGATTCATGGGTGCCAAACTGGCGGCCCTCCAGCTGTTGCCAAAAGACAAGTCCCATGAGGCATTGCAAGATTCATGGGTGTCAAACTGGCGGCACTCCAGCTGTTGCCAAACGACAAGTCCCACGAGGCATTGCAAGATTCACGGGTGTCAAACTGGCGGCCCTCCAGCTGTTGCCAAACGACAAGTCCCATGAGGCATTGCAAGATTCATGGGTGTCAAACTGGCGGCCCTCCAGCTTGCGACAAGTCCCATGAGGCAACAAGATCCGGCCCTCCAGCTGTTGCATTGCAAGATTCACGGGTGTCAAACTGGCAGCCCTCCAGCTGTTGCCAAACGACAAGTCCCACAAGGCATTGCAAGATTCATGGGTGTCGAACTGGCTGCCCTCCAGCTGTTGCCAAACGACAAGTCCCATGAGGCATTGCAAGATTCATGGGTGTCAAACTGGCGGCCCCTCCAGCTGTTACTAAACGACAAGTCCCAAATTGCAAGATTCACGGGTGTCAAACTGGCGGCCCCAGCTGTTGCCAAACGACAAGTCCCATGAGGCATTGCAAGATTCACGGGTGTCAAACTGGTGGCCCTCCAGCTGCTGCCAAACGACAAGTCCCATGAGGCATTGCAAGATTCACGGGTGTCAAACTGCATCTGATCAATCCGGTCCACCAAAAACAGATGGATGGGGATACATTCCCCATCCGTCCAGCGAATCGGATCCGATGACAGTCTGATGTAAATGGACAGGCGGTCCATTTACATTTGACCATCCCATAGAGAACTGGATGGGTCCATGTCCACTCTGCACAAGCGGAGCGGACATGGACCTGTGATCCACCTGCTCAACGAGAATCAGCGAACAGATGGAATATGGAACTCTTAGTGTTAGACGCCTTTCACACAGATGCTCCAAATGGGTCACCTGTCCTTTTTTCAGGCAAACCCGATCGGACCACCCTATGTTCTCTATGAGGAGGCGGATGTAGATGGACATGTGTCTATTTACACATGCCTGCATCTGATCAGTCCAGTCCACCAAAAACAGATGGATGAGGATACATTCCCCATCCGTCTAGCGAGTCGGATCCGATGACAGTCTGATGTAAATGGACAGGCGGTCCGTTTACATTCGACCACCCCATAGAGAACTGGATGGAACAGATAGAATATGGAACTCTTAGTGTTAGGCACCTTTCACACAGATGCTCCAAATGGGTCCGCCTGTCCATTTTTCTGACAGAAATGCAGGGGGCAGGGGCGGACTGACAACTCATGGGGCCCCCAGGCAATAGGGGATCATGGGGCCCCTGTGTCCTTGCCCACACTCAAAAAAGCCTATAAAAGGTACCAGGGGCATTTCCCGAGTTCTCGAATGGTCAGTCTGCCCCTGGCAGGGGGGACAATATTTTTGTTCATGATAAGGAGTGGACTGACCATTTGGAAACTCAGGCACTGCCTGAGGGCCCCAGGTCAGTAGGGGGCCCCATGAGATGCCCCTGGTACCTTTTTCATAGGATTTTTTGAGTTTGGGCAAGGACACAGGGGCCCCATGATCCCCTATTGCCCGGGGGCCCCATGAGTTTGTCAGTCCGCCCCTGGTCATGACTGTAGAAGAAGACGTTTAATTACTGGAACTCAGTATAAACAATGTTGCTCCATTATCAGCTCAAGCAAGAACATAGGCAAGACAACTGTCTGCAGGAGAACCAGAGGGCCACTGGCCAATGGCTGGTCATTAGAAGGTACGGGCTTGGCCTGCTATTTCATAAGAAAGCCTTGTTATTTTGTCTCAATTTTAAAAGCTCCCCAAAAATTATACAGCCCCCCCATACTATTACCTTGAATGCTGAGTTCATTTTTGGGGGGTCAGGTGTGAGCTCACTGCGAACAATTGCAAGGAACACCATGATCTCCACATACTTCCCAATAGTCATTGTCTCCGTTCATGGATCCTCGCATAACCTCTTTCATATCCGCCGCCCGGCACATCTGCTGCAGACAGAACTGAAGCCTCTGGTGACACAAAGCATATGTTTCCTGTACTCTGTGTACATCCAACCAGACTGATAATCACAATGCCAACATACACAGCAAATCCACACGTCTTCCCGCAGCGGGATGTGATTTGCTCTCTTTCGCTTACTGAAAAAAAGAAAAAAAAATGCTTTTGTTAAAAATCCGTTAAAGATAAATAATTTCTACACTAAGCATTATGTAACGTAAAATAGAGATGGACATGAGAAAAATAAATGTCAGATTTTTTTTTAGATAAAATAAACTCCTTTTATTGCTGTAGGTGTAGGTTACCTTTTACAATTTTTTTAACCCCTTCCAGTCCGGACACTTCCCCCCCCTTCCAGTCCGGACACTTTCACCCCCTTCCAGTCCGGACACTTCCCCCCCCTTCCAGTCCAGACACTTTCCCCCCCCTTCCAGTCCGGACACTTTCATCCCCTTCCAGTCCGGACGCTTTCACCCCCTTCCAGTCCGGATGCTTTCCCCCCCTTCCAGCCCGGACGCTTTCCCCCCCTTCCAGTCCGGACGCTTTCCCCCCCTTCCAGTCTGGACGCTTTCCCCCCCTTCCAGTCCGGACGCTTTCCCCCCCTTTCAGCCCAGACGCTTTCACCCCCTTCCAGTCCGGACGCTTTCACCCCCTTCCAGTCTGGACGCTTTCACCCCCTTCCAGTCCCCTTCCAGACCAGACTTTCCCCCCCCTTCCAGTCCAGACACTTTCACCCCCTTCCAGTCCGGACACTTTCACCCCCTTCCAGTCCGGACACTTTCACCCCCTTCCAGTCCGGACGCTTTCCCCCCTTCCAGTCCGGACGCTTTCACCCCCTTCCAGTCCGGACACTTTCCCCCCCTTCCGGTCCGGACACTTTCACCCCCTTCCAGTCCGGACGCTTTCCCCCCCCCCTTCCAGTCCGGACGCTTTCCCCCCCTTCCAATACGGACGCTTTCACCCCCTTCCAGTCCGGACGCTTTCACCCCCCTTCCAGTCCGGACGCTTTCACCCCCCTTCCAGCCCGGACGCTTTCACCCCCCTTCCAGCCCGGACGCTTTCACCCCCTTCCAGTCCGGACGCTTTAACCCCCTTCCAGTCCGGACGCTTTCACCCCTTTCAGTCCGGACGCTTTCACCCCCTTCCAGTCCAGACGCTTTCACCCCCTTCCAGTCCAGACGCTTTCACCCCCTTCCAGTCCGGACACTTTCCCCCCCTTCCAGTCCGGACGCTTTCCCCCCCTTCCAGTCCGACGCTTTCACCCCCTTCCAGTCCGGACGCTTTCACCGCCCTTCCAGTCCGGACGCTTTCACCGCCCTTCCAGTCCGGAGGCTTTCACCTCCTTCCAGTCCGGACACTTTCACCCCCTTCCAGTCCGGGCGCTTTCACCCCCCTTCCAGTCCGGACTCATTCACCCCCCTTCAGTCCGTACACTTTCACCCCCTTCCAGTCCGGACACTTTCACCCCCCTTCCAGTCCGGACACTTTCACCCCCTTCCTGTCCAAGCCTATTTTCAGCTTTCAGCGCTGTCACGCTTTGAATGACAATTGCGCGGTCATGCAACACTGTACCCATATGAATTTTTTAGCATTTTTTCGAGACAGATAAAGCTTTATTTTGGTGGTATTTACTCACCACTGGGATTTTTTTTTTTTTTTTTGCTTTATAAATGAAAAAGTCCAAAAAATTTGAAAGAAATTTGCAAATAAATAATCTTTCTTCATAAAATCTTGGTCAAAATTTATTCAGTTATCTTTTTAGAAAAAAAAATAATCCAAATTAGTTTCCTAAAAATTATAATTTAAAAAAAAAAATTACATTTTATTTTATTTTTTTATATTATTATTTATTTATGTTTTGTTTTGTTTGTTTTTTTACATACTGTCACCCTAGCAGTACAGTGTCACCATAGTGACACTGTACCACTTATGAGGGGTAATGAACATTTTTTTTTTTTTACACTGATTGCTTTTACACCCATAAAGGCTGTAAAAGCAATCATTTCTCCTTCTCTCTGGCTGCATTCTTGCAGCCATTGAGAAATACTGTGTGAGCTGTGATTGGTTCATAGCTTGTCACATGGTACAAGGCTGTTGTGAATAGCCCTGTACCATGTGACCTCTGTGATCATTCACAGATTTCACACGTAGTAAGCAATGATGTCAGGAAGTGACATCTTGCTTACTACTAAGCAAGACAAAGTGGAATCCGTATCGCGGTGCTGTGCGCTCCCAAGGAGCACGCACAAGCAGGGGGAGGGGAGGCTGTTTATAAAACGGCCACCCGCTCCTGCACTGCCACCATCCCGCCGTTCATATACATGGGCCAGACGGGAAGTGGTTAAAGCAACTCAAGGCAAAATAACAAAATTTTAAAAATGCCCGTTCGAAGATAAAATGTTTACCTTTGGTCCAGAAACAGAGACTATAATATATTGAAAGGCTGGGGTGACCCTCGGGTGGTAGGAGGTCACATCCGATAGGTAACAGAGTGCCATGTCCCAGTATAGAATATTGAAAGGCTGGGGTGACCCTCGGGTGGTAGGAGGTCACATCCCATAGGTTACAGAGTGCCATGTCCCAGTATAGAATACTGAAAGGCTGGGGTGACCCTCGGGTGGTAGGAGGTCACATCCAATAGGTAACAGAGTGCCATGTCCCAGTACAGAATATTGAAAGGTTGGGGTGACCCGCGGGGTGGGGTGGTAGGAGGTCACATCCGATAGGTAACAGAGTGCCATGTCCCAGTATAGAATATTGAAAGGTTGGGGTGACCCTCGGGTGGTAGGAGGTCACATCCGATAGGTAACAGAGTGCCATGTCCCAGTACAGAATATTGAAAGGTTGGGGTGACCCGCGGGTGGTAGGAGGTCACATCCGATAGGTAACAGAGTGCCATGTCCCAGTATAGAATATTGAAAGGTTGGGGTGACCCTCGGGTGGTAGGAGGTCTCATCCGATAGGTAACAGAGTGCCATGTCCCAGTATAGTATTTTGAAAGGCTGGGGTGACCCTCGGGTGGTAGGAGGTCACATCCGATAGGTAACAGAGTGCCATGTCCCAGTATAGAATATTGAAAGGCTGGGGTGACCCTCGGGTGGTAGGAGGTCACATCCGATAGGTAACAGAGTGCCATGTCCCAGTATAGAATATTGAAAGGCTGGGGTGACCCTCGGGTGGTAGGAGGTCACATCCGATAGGTAACAGAGTGCCATGTCCCAGTATAGAATATTGAAAGGCTGGGGTGACCCTCGGGTGGTAGGAGGTCACATCCGATAGGTAACAGAGTGCCATGTCCCAGTATAGAATATTGAAAGGCTGGGGTGACCCTCGGGTGGTAGGAGGTCACATCCGATAGGTAACAGAGTGCCATGTCCCAGTATAGAATATTGAAAGGTTTTGGTGACCCTTGGGTGGTAGGAGGTCACATCCGATAGGTAACAGACCCTTTTATCATGTGATCTGATGCCCCTTCCATTGGTATATGTTTTTTTTTTTCTGATGTTCAGCGTTACGGTTAGAAGTTGGGGTGATAAGGAGACACATTTTTAATGTTGAAAGATCCCTTTACCGATACACTGATCCAAGCAATTCAATCGATGTGGAAGTCTTGATTTTCTGACTTCTTCCCAGTCTTACAAACCTACTGTATACATAGATTGTATATTGGGTATTACCTGCAAAAGTCCTAACTTTTCCTATGGCTGCAGAAAATATGGAACTCTTAGTGTTAGGTACCTTTCACACAGATGTTCCGAATGGGTCCACCTGTCTGTTTTTCAGGCAAACTCCCGTTCGGACCACCCTATGTTCTCTATGAGGAGGCGGATGTAGATGGACATATATCTGTTTACACACGCCTGCATCTGATCAATCCGGTCCACCAAAAACAGATGGATGCAGTGGTGTATTTAGGTTTTGTGCTGCCTAGGCAACACAAACATTATCTGCACCCACTGATACCGACAAACATGACCCCCTTCCCCCTTCTGTGGAAAGAGCCTGACATTGACCAACAACACCCCTGCCCCCCACCCGGGAGAGCCTTCCACTACCCCCCACCCCCACACTCATCTTTACAGCTTCGGACATCCTCGGAAACGAGAGCCAGGCTCTACATACACCATCAAGCAGCCCACAGCCTCTCTCAGGTCCCACTTGGCTCCCATGGTGCGCGGGTCCTTCCTTTCATCCCTTTTTCTGGTGGAGATGCTGCTCCCCTGATATGTTCCCCATCTAGCGGATCGAATCCGATGATAGTCTGATGTAAATGGGAACACCTATCTGTTTACATCTGACCGCCCCATAGAGAACTGGCTGGGTCCATGTCCACTCCGCACAAGCGGATCAGACATGGACCTGTCATCCACCTGCTCAGCGAGGATCAGCAGATACCCTGCTGGGCAGGTGGATCTGCTTGACGGAGTCCACAACGTGTGAAATGGGTAGATAAATATGAAAGGAAGTCAGAGAGGGTTCTCAGTTGTATGGAAATGTTCCGTATTCCTGGAGAATGCTAAAGAAAATCCCCCAAATTTTAGCTTTGTGTGTGACCTCAAGCCATTGGGAGTGAACCTTCTGTTTGGGTTCTGCTTGTTTTAGAGAAAATGCGGAATACTGGAATATTCTGAGAAAGTGTTTTAGGAACTTCAAAATTATGTGACCAGAGACATAGTACCCAAAAACAGAGGCAGACTGACCATTTGGAAACTCGGGCAATGCCCGAGGGCCTGGGGTCAGTAGGGGCCCCATGAGATGCCCCTGGTACCTTTTTCATAGGCTTTTTTGAGTTTGGGCAAGGACACAGGGTCCCCATGATACCCTATTGCCCATGGGCCCCATGAATTGTCAGTCCGCCCCTGCCCAGAAATAAAACTCAGCTTCTTGCTGGTATTTTAATGTTTTAATGCTCTTCTATCGGAGTTGTAGAATGAAAATATTGATCTCGGGTACTTCTCCAAAGTATTTTCTTAGTAAAAAGACGGTTTTGAAAATATTAACAAACACAGCTCATCCTAACACCTCAAATACAGTGTGTGTGTGTGTGTATATATATATATATATATCTGTATATACTCTCACCGATACCGCTTTATTAGGTACACCTGTTCAATTGCTTGGTAACACAAATTGCTAATCAGTCAATCATATAGCAGAACTCAATGCATTTAGGCATCTAGATGTGGGGAAGATGACTTGAGGTTCAACCCAGAGTATCAGAATGGGAAAGAAAGGGGATTTAAGTAACTTTGAACTTGGTATGGTTGTTGAAAACTCCGGAAATATATAAAGTCTTTATCACAAAAAACTCTTCTGGAGGTCTCCCCTCCCCGGGTGTACCCCCCCCAGCCCCCAATAAATCCTTTTTTTCCCCAGCTGTCTGCAGAAACCCCTGGGCAAGGAGATCAAGTGGCTCCCACTTTTAAGATGAACAGTCCTAGGGAAGGAGTAATAGGTTTCCCACAGAGTGCTCTTTCACCTTTTGCGGGCCCCCCGGGGGGGAAGGATTACTCCCCTCAGTCCTTTTTCTGTGGCTGTTTAGGTTGGTGGGTGCCTTAAGGCCTTCTGCTGGGCTGGCCCCCTTTTTTAGTCCAAGGTACCCCCCTAGGGACCGGTGAGCCCGAGCGATCCTTCTGTTTAAATTCAGCCCACCTAGGCCCCTTCCCCCTGGGCCCCTCCGGTTCCTTACCTCTTCTTCCCTTTTCCACCTGAACTTCCCCGCTGATGAGCAGGCTCGTATACTTTTGGGTGTCCTGACCTCATGCCAAGCTTCTCTGGAGACTGGTTTGGTTCCCCCTAAGTATGAATCAGCCCCCCCCGAACCCTGTAGTTCTAGAATTTTTTTCCAAATTATAGAGCTTGGGGTGGATCAAGGAAAGTCTGCAGAGCCTCTCGCCCCGACCAAATTTTACTCTGTGATTATTTCCTTTGGGGTGCTCAGGGCCCCTCTATCTAAAAATTACAATTAAATCCTCCTGGCGATTAGAGGGGTGCTACGTTTTTAATGGGTGCCAGGTTGTATTTGGTACCTTCTTTTTAAATGCTTACTTTCACTTGTATAATAAAAATAAAATAAAAATCTACAAATTTTGGGGAAATTGTGTAAAATTTCTTGCCGCAACCTTTTTCCCAAAAGATTGATGGGAAATGTAACAGGGCACATTTGCAAGCCTGAAAAGGAAAAAACATTTAGCTTGTATTTTGAAACTCCAGTCCAGCCTGGTGAGTCATCTGCCCTTTGGTGACCTTTGGTTTTGGGTGCACCTGGAG